CTTTATGAATTCTATTTTAAGTCTCCCAGAAGGTGCTTTTTTTTTTTTAAAAAAAAAAAAGGCAATTGGATTTTCTTTGTTTTTGCCGGAAGATGTTTCGCTTCTTATCCGAGAAGCTTCTTCACTTCTATGGTAAGGTTACACTAATGGAACTTTGCAAGTCTGAAAGTACAATTTTTCCTCCCATCTCCTTTGCCCCAGAGAAACTAGGGAGGATCCCTTTTGAGCCAATGCCCCACCTACTATGTAGCCTTGGATTGGGCTGCTTCTAATCTGACCGTTCCCTAGGCAGCAATCTCTTCTTCCTCCACTCCCAAGGTCATTCTCACATACCATTACACCCAGGCCACGACCTTATTGAGGCATGGAGCTACTTAATTTGACGGAGAACTATTTATCTATAGAAAAGCAACCATAACTTCTGTCCCTGGGATACACAAAGAGTTTATTGCCAGGCTTGGAATATCTGCTTTGGTTGGAACTTCCTTCTTCCCAAAACATTCAGAGAAAGGAGGTGCCAACTTCGGGGACAAACAAAGTTGTTCCATCCTATCCTTTGCATGGTGGGTACCATGGAGGGGCTATTCACTTACCTTCTCTACCGGTTCGCAAATGTCAGCCCGTCGGCGCATTCGCACGGCAGTCCGTGCATGCGCTTTGCTCGCGCGTGTGGCTTGCATGCATGCACGCGGCTTGAAAACATGCCTAAATAGGAAGGCGTAGAGTCGAGGCAAGTGGGCGGGCCCACCTGCAATTTCCACTACTGGTTTGGGTAAACCGATCCGAACCGGCTGAATACCACCTCTGGTGGGTACCAATGGAACGTTGGGAAAAAAAGTTTTTAATGGTAAATTTGTGCAACCCTGAGGTTCGGCTCCCATTCATAAAATTTGCCCAAGCAGGGCCATCAGTCAAGGAATTACATCCACTGGCTTAAATGGTCCGTTTAACTTTACAATTCTACAGCTTTATCAAACAAAACATGTGAAACTGGGTATGGCAAGGGTGTACTCACAATAGACAGTAAGGTTGGCAGTACTGGTGGCATTGCCAAAGGGGTTGGAGATGGTACAAGTGTAGACACCAGCATCTGTCCGCTGAGGGTCTCTAATTTTCAGGGAGCCAGATGAACGCAAATATCGGGGATTATCCTCCAGACGGTGACCATCCTTGGTCCAGGAGACAAAACCATGGACAGGAGAGCAGTTGAAAGTCACTGTACCGCTTCCTTCTGTCACTTTGACAGATGACGGGTCCACATGGATGTTGCCCACCTTCTCTAAAGAAACACACAGGTATGAGCTATCCATTGCATTTTGGGGGGGGGNTTCTTCATATGAAGAACGGTTGCAGGAACTGGCTATGTCGAGTTTAATGAAAAGAAGGACTAGAGGAGACATGATAGCAGTGTTCCAATATCTCAGGGGCTTCCACAAAGAAGAGGGAGTCAAGCTATTCTCCAAAGCACCTGAAGGCAAGACAAGAAACAATGCATGGAAACTAATCAAGGAGAGAAGCAACTTAGAACTAAGGAGAAACTTCCTGACAGTGAGAACAATTAATCAGTGGAACAAGTTGCCTCCAGAAGTTGTGAATGCCCCAACACTGGAGGGTTTTAAGAAGATATTGGACAGCCATTTGTCTGAAATGGAATAGGGCCGTGATGGCAAACCATGCCAGAAGTGGAATGCAGAGTCCTCTGTGGGCACACATGCCATTGTGCATTCTGGTTTGGCCACTCGGTGCCGAAAAGGTTAGCCGTCATTGGTATCGGTTTTCTCCCTAAGCAAGGGTTAGACTAGAAGACCTTCCAGGCCCCTTTCGGCTTTATTATTCACATGGGAATTCAGCATGGCAGGTCCTGGGAACTAACAGGAAGAAAAGCTTGCCTACAGATCGGCTGCCAATGGCCCAAAGCACCACCACATTTTCTCTCTCCTGGAAAATGAGTTGCAAAACAAGGGACTTCCAAAAATGGCAGAACTAATGAATGAGAAGGGAAGTTATAATCACTACGATCCTTTACCAACAGCCAATGGGAGGCTGACGCCGCTGACATATCGGAGACGCCATAGCAGGGAACTGAACAAAACCAGCATCTTCATTTTGTCTCAAAGACGTCTGGATTCTGGACCACAGAGGAAAACGGATGCTGCGTACGCATCACCGTGGCAACAAGGAGCCAATCCACAACGGCAAACAGCCAGAGCATCTTCGGAACACTCTGCCCCGGCTGGATGTCAAAACCTGTTTTATGTTGCATTTTGAGGGTTTCACGGGTGGGCGCCGACTCCATCCACCAGTTATCTCCGAGTCCCCTCCCCAAAAAGGTTAAATGTTAAATATCTGTACTAGTTTTCTCCCTGGTTTTTTAAATACACTTTATGATTCTGTTCTCTGCATTGATGCACCTTTCTGGAAGATGCTTCTTGCTGCTCAAGATACAGCTTTCAAAATAATTCTTTTTTCAAAAGAGGTGTTTTAAAAAATATTTTAATTTTCTAAAAAAAGGCATACAGCACATGTCAACCATCCCGTCTGTCAGACAGGTGTGTGGTTTTTTTAAAAAACTGTTCAGTGTTTCCCCTCCCTCAAAGGTGGTTGTGGGTGGGTGTTTTCATAAGCCACATGGCCGTGATGGCAAACCTGTGGTATGCATGCCAGAGGTGCCACACAGCGCCCTCTCTGTGGGCACGCGAGCTGTTGCCCCAGTTCCATTCCTGCCGCGCATGCACGAGTGCCTCCCGCCGGCCAGCTCGTCTTTGGGTCTCTGCCGTACATGCGTGGTGGGGCGTGGTGCATGCCTGGGGGGGTAAAGCAGGGGTGGGGTCCATGTGTGCATGCGCGGGAGGGCACATGGGAGTGGGAGATGCACAGATTGAATTTGGGGGGGGGGGTTAGGCACGAACAAGCGTGCTTTGAGAAAAAGTTAGCCTGCACTGCCATATGGTTTAAAAGACAGTTTAAAAAATAATAAAAGGCAGATTTTGTAAAAAAGTGCAAATAAATGACTCATCCTGTTGTTCCTTAAATAAACAATTTACAAAGCTCACCAGTAACTGGGGGTGGGGGGGCATTCACACAAAATGTCATATGGCTCCGATGTCCGTCCGTTCCCCCCCCCCCCTTCCCGGCAAAAAGAGGCAGCACCGCCAGGAGAGATTGGAGGTGGTTTTAATGGAAAATGGCTTTGTGGCGTGGCGGCTTTCGGCGAGTCTGCTTCCAAGGGGCGCTGCTGAGTTCAAATTCCACCACCCGAGAGCGGTCCAGAAGTTTGTCCGTCCTCATCCCGCCTGCCACCCTGGAGCCGGAATTCTGGAAAAAAAAGCAGATTTAGAGAGATCCCAGTTATAAACGGCATGATGGCAATTTGGTTTGAAAATACCTTTCCAACCAACTTCAACCTGGAAATAAGGAGGAACTTTCTGACAGTGAGAGCAATCCACCCATGGAACAGAAGTTGCCTTTGGAAGTTGTAGGAGCTTCATCCCTGGAAGCTTTCAAGAAGAGACTGGACTGCCATCTGTCAGAAATGGTGTAGGGCAGTGTTGTGGCCCAGCAGGAGCCGTTGGAGCTGCCACCAGACTCCGACAGCGAGGGGCCCTATGAGTCGGCTCTGGAGGATGTGGAGGACCCTGGAAAGGTTTCCGACTCCAAGCAGGGTGCAGAGAGGCTGGTTGGCCACCAGGAAGCACCTGAGCCTTGGACCAGTGGGGAGGAGACAAGGGAGAGTGATCCGGATTGCCCAGCACCGGAGAGCTATTAGGCGTAAAGAAAAGTTGCGCAGTTACAGGAGGTAATTG